ACCTCTGCCCACATACTTCAGTCCATGCAAAACATGCCACTCTAAGTAGAAGTAATCAAACTCATTCTTCAGGGCATAAAATGATCTCAGGGGCCAGGAAGAAATGTTCTCTCTAATCATTCTGAAATTGGCTACCTGGCTTGCTCCATTATGGATTTCATCCCTTCCTCTGAAGCATCAAAGGTGGCCTACAGTCAGAATCTCAGCTTGTGAGAATTCTGATCTGATCCCCTGTGGCAACGTCTGGGTGCCTGGATACTCATCATGCTGATGGACTCTGTACAAAACCAGTGCAGTTATTCAGACAGAGAAGTAGATAAATACATAGATGTCCCTATTCATGGAGTCTCTTAAATTCGCAGGCTGAATAACGCATTCTTCTCAGCAAACCAAGATAGTTCAGTCACTTTCTTCTTTTTCTAGCATCTGATCGTGTATCTGACCTTGCAGAAACAACCTGGCCTTTCTTGGCATTTTTCTCACAGAAAGCAAGAAGGGACTGAAATGAAAGGAAGTTTCTCTGTCTTTTACTTGCTGCCCCCTACATTCAAATAATCTAATAATATTTTTTAGAAGTCTTAAAAAGACATGATATCCTGAGAGTGGAATCTTGGCACCGAGATAAGACTGCCACTAAGCCAGGTAAAAGAGACATGAATTGATGAGTTACATACCATTCCTCCCGAAAAATTTACTGCTGCACTATGCCCTGTATGTTGGAGTTGAAGATAACTTTGAGTAAATTAGATTAAAAGTGGAATTGTGACATAAGCGACAAGATTACCTAAGCACTTCAAATCAAATTACTTAATGACTGACTGCTTAACCCCTGTGTGAGCGCTGGAGTTTTGAGCTCCACAGTCGGTGTGTATTTCATTCAAATCAAAATTAAGTGACTTCATTACAGTTATAGCTCCATCATTTTAGTGTTCCAGAGCATGCATTACCAGAAGATTGTTGTAATTTATATTATGCTCTATGTGAAGACATTTGCCTTATCTATAGGTTTCCTAGAGCTTATCCTGTTGTCTAATCTTGCTGCTCTATATCCTTGATACTATAGCGACAGACAAATAAGCATATTTATCGAGAAGCCATCATATTATCCAGTGCACGGTTAATGTGAGCCTGGGTCTTAGATAGCAGAGAAATTGTACAAGGAGAATTTTTTTCTCTTTGGTTACTGCCAGGTTTTTTATTTTGCAGTTAATTCTTCATCTACTCCCCCACTGGTTTGTGGTAGGCATTCAATTTCAGGGGAAACAATGGATAATTGGGCCACATCATCAGTTGGTGTTGTTCAGCATAACTTCAATGGGGCTACTCTGGTTTACATCAAAGGAGGAGCTCTCTGATTGAATCATCTTCAGTGTTACATTCATGGAAAGCCAAAAGTACTTTACAGTCAACGGAGTTATACTGATTTACCCAAGCAGAGGATCTGGCTTTATGTATCTGATTCTGCTAGCATTCACAGTGGGGCAGATTCAGAGTAAATTCACCCACATCGTTGGGATACATCAATTCATCCCAGCTCAGGATCTGGTCTCGAATCAGATTAATGTTACAAGGGATCTGGCAAAGTGAGTCAGACTCTGATCTAAGTCACATGGGTATAAACCCAGAGTAATTCCATGGGCCCACAACAGATTTACACTGATGTAACTAGGCTCAGCATCTGTAGCTGGGATGAGGAGCCAGGAGAGATGCTGTGATGTGGCAGATCTGTTACTGATTCCAAATCAATATGGAATTGCAATGAAACAGTATGAAAGCCTACAAGCTATCTATCCC